TTAATTTGTGTGTGTTTGTGTGTATGACTGATTTGGTGACTGGAGGAACCCAGCCCATTGAGATTGAGTCCTGCAAGATAGCTCCACTGGGGGTGAGGGCTTGCAGAAGGGAGAAATACAGCTCCGTATAGTAACACAAGCAGCACATTGACAGAATCACCGAGACCCTAGAAACTATCCCTAATAAATGAGCACACCCCAAAGTAATGGGCAGATTTGGTAACACTTGTTGAAGTCAGCTTTCCTGAAGTTGAGGACTTCTGTATTGCTCACTGACTTGCCAGCTTTACGGCAGATGGTGAAGGTAATCAGCTCATGGTTGCTGTCACCCAGCTTCCCTTCAATCATTAAGTCATTGATTAGGTCGTCCCCTCTTGCCAGTACCAGGTCAAGCAGCACTTTACCTCTTGTCGGCCCATCAACTTCCTGCATCAGATAGAGCTCATCCACCCACAAGAGAAAGCTTTGTGACCGCTCAGATTTGGCCGAGTGCTCTTCCCATGAGATGTCTGGGTAGTTGAAGTCTCCCATGACAATTATGCACCAGGAGCGTGTGGCCTCAGCCAGTTCCCTGGTGAACTCCTGGTCAAGGTCTTGATCCTGGGTAGGAGGTCTGCAGTAGACTCCCACCATTGTGTCCCTTGTGCCATGTTCCCCACGGATTTTAACCCAGAGGGTCTCCAGTCGTCCACCCTGGGCAACAATGTCAGCTTGCAGGGATGCATAGTTTTCCTTGACATAGAGAACTACACCCCCGCCCCTTTTGTCCACTTGATCTCTCCCGTACAGGGTATAACCATCTATACCTGTGGCCCAGTCATGGGTGGAGTCCCACCAGGTCTCCGTTATCCCTATGACATCATATTTATTTGTGTTTAGCAGGAGGACAAGTTCCTCCTGTTTATTCCCAAGCTCCTGGCATTGGTATACAGGCACGCCAATGGGGGGCCCTTGACTTGCCTATAGCTCGTTCCAAGGCTGGGGCAGGGGTAGCTCCCTTAAGTGTGTTGGCCTGCTGGCTTTGCAAGGGTTGCTCAGCGGGCCAGCAGTGGCAGTAGTCCCCCCATCCCCCGGCAGGCTTAGTTTAAAGCCTGGTGGAGCAGATCAGCCAGTCTGACTGAGAAGAGCCTCCTCCCCAGCGGAGAGAGGTGGAAGCCATCCCTTCCCAGCAGCTCACTGTTTTATATTTTATAAATATAAAAGGGTTATATTTTAATAGGTTGTGATTTTGTGAAGAGTGAAGAAGGCAGAATTGACAGTCAGTTTATCCACAGTACAGAAACTTTCATTGCAAGCTTCCATCATGTGCTTCTTCACAAACCAGTTTTGATAGAGAGACAACCTTTAGGCATAATAGGAGAGTTGGTTGGGAATTGCTGGCCCCTCCCTGGCTGAGCTGGTAAAGGGTTAATGCTTTTCACTGTTCTGGAAGGAAAAGAAAATACTGAAAACATTGGTTTTACTAGGCAATAGTTTAGTACAGGGCTTGAAGGGGGACCTGATAGCCGTTCCTCCTAAGAGGAGAAGCCATATAAATGAGTCAAGTCTTTTAAGGTGTGAGTGGGGGAGAGGGAAATCAGAGATATTTCTAGAAAGGAACAGGTATATCTGTGGGGAGGGCAACATTTCATCCATCACCTCTGGGTCAGGGGTATCCTCCCTGTTTATGCCTGGGCCTGCAATCTACAACCTTCCTCCTTTCTCTTTCTTCAGCAAGGAAGAATCAGGCATATAAAACTACTTTGGGATCTTTCTTGATGAAACATGATATACAAATAAAAAGTTTGATGCCCATCTGATGCTTATTCAAACTTACATAAAGGGTAAGAAGAACAGTGACAAACCGCTTTAATTTAGAGGTATCGACATAACACCCATAACAACAATTCTGAATACAATATTGTAATAGGAGGGTGGACAGGGTTGCTGTGCTCTCCCTTGCCGCCTCCTTACCATGCCAAGCTGCTGACTAGCACCCTCAAATTCTTGCCCACCACGACTTTGATGTCATATATATTTTATGCCTTTCGTCCTCTTGGCCACGGTTCTCCTGTTATCACTAGTCCCATTCGTGTCTTGGGTGTTCTGTGCCCCCCAGCCTTATGGACTATGTGTGGCTCCAACCACCCCTGTCCCACGCCCCAAGCCTTGCAGATGGAACTGACGTTGTTCGGTCTCTCTCCGCGCCCTCTCTGACGCTTGGGCTCTCCGCAGCCCCGTCTCGCACTATGCGCTCTCTGGCACTTGGCAATTGCTGCCCCCTCTCTCTTGGGGACTGGGGTTCTCATACTGCTGCAGGTCCCCTATGAGGCCTCCTCCATCCCCTCTTAGCCTCACCCAAACTGCCGGTCACAACAACAAACATAACACAAGCCCCTGGGCTATAACATAAATCTAAGCCATCTGGCTCCAACCTTCTTCTCGCCACACCAGAGTTGCTTCATCTGTCCCCAGTCTCGGGCCATACCTGCAGTTTGGTCTCTATGCATTACTCATTCCAGCAGGGTTCCTTCCCCGCTTGGCTGCCAGAAGGGAACTCCCCCCATGGCCTCCAGCCTGTGATTTATATAGGAGCCAGGTCCTACCTCTTCTGGTCAGCTGACTAGGCAGGTGTGGGTCACTAGTTCCCTCTAGTTGCCACAGCAACCGGCACCTGAGGAGTTATCCCGGCTCTCCAAGTAGCAGGCACCTTAGTGCCCTGCTACAAATATGTTTCCTGGGTAAGGGCGGGCTCTAAGCAGTACATCAACTGAGAACCAGGTCAGAACCCCATCCTGGTTACATCTCTCTCACCAGATTGTTGGAATAAGCCTGATTTACTTGAATGATATTTCATTAGAGGGAATCCGACATAGGCATAAGGCAAGTTAAATGGAAAGCCTGATAGACAGAGTAAGGCAATAGGCTAAGGTTATGTGGAGAACAGAAAATCTATTTAATGAAGGACTTTTAGATTTCAAAATTTATTTTAGTTTTGGAGTAAATCCTACAAATGTATGCATTCTCTGTGAAAGATAACTGTGAAAAAATGGTTTGTTCACAATGTTTCAATTTTGACTTTTTATATTAAAATAAGAAAACATTTTCAAAGGAAAGAAGCTACAGTATTTTGTTTCAGAAGTGTTATAATGGACCATTCCGTTTTCCTCCTAAATGAAATCTAATTGACATTTTTGCAATTCCATGAAGCATTTCAATTGACCTGCATTTCCTGAAAGCTCCAGAGCACATGTTCCACGAGAAGCACAATGCTCAGTTCACTGCAGGCATTTTACACTGACTCTACCTTTGACTTGCAGAAAAGGTTGTGGCTATGGTAACCAATTCATCCCAGGAGATCAGATCAGGCTCCTCCTTAACCAAGTAGTCACTAGGAACAGAAACATAATAAGACTTGACCATATAATATTTGTGTGATAATATAATCCGTCTGAATCTCTGATTCTCTGAATCAGCATCAAATCTTCGGATTTGGCCAAATCGAATCTGGGACAGTAAGCCGAATCAACTAATTGAATCACTGTCCCCAATTCAGGCCATATCCAAATCCAAATCGAATAGGGCCCATTTCACATACCCCTACTGTTCATAACAGTAAGAGTATAGTAAAGAACTGTCACGGTATGCTAGAGTATAGCCTACTCTGCCAGACCATAGACTTAAGTTACTGTGTCCATTTCCCCCTTTGCCAATTGTTACCTATAGCGTATTTTTCCCCTCAGGCTTTATCCTTTCTGGGATCAACTGAGTTTAACTTATTTCCTTTGGGGGACCAGCTCACAGTCTAAAGGATTCAACTGTTATGAATGGTAGGGGTGTTTGAAACGGGCCCTATTCAATTTGGATTCGGATTCGACCTGAATTGGGGACAGTGATTCAATTAGTTGATTTGGATTACTGTCCCAGATTCGATTTGGCCAAATCCAGATCTGAAGATTTGATGCTGATTCAGAGAATCAGCGATTCAGACAGACACAGCTTGAAATGTTTTTTCTACATACCACGAGGTACCCGACATGGCTTGTGAACGTTGCAATGCTGGGGCAGACGGAGCATACCTCAGGAGTGCGGGGGGGGCCTGCATGCTCAGTGGGGAACCCAGAAGTGGACCGGAAGTACTTCCGGTCCACTGGGGAGCACGCGGGGGGGCCCCCAGCATCCCCCCTGCTCAGCGATTGGCCGTGGGGGGACCCTGGGTGCTCCCCAGACCCAGGAGGCACCAGTCGCTGAGCCCAGGGGGTGTGTGGGGGGGGAGCCCCCAGCACTCTCTCTGGCGGACCTAGAAGTGGACCAGAAGTGCTTCTGGGCCGCTTCCGGGTCTGCTGTTGAGTGTGCTGGGAACCCCACCTGTGCTCCTGTGGGATGCTCCATGTGCCCCAGCATCACAGCATTCACGAGCCACCTGCTACCTAGAGGTATGTACAAAAAACATTTAAAGCTGTGTCTATGTTCGAATCGCTGAATCTCTCCGATTCAATTTGGAGAGATTAAAGGGTCCTCTGATTAGATTCAGATTTGGAGATTCGGCCACCGAATCAGGCTGAATCTCCACTGAATCAAATCAGGGACCAAAGCTTCGCGCAGCCCTAATGAATGGCTGTGTCACTGAGCCAGTGAGTTAACTGACCATAACCACAAGAAGCACATTCAGACAAGCACAGTCAATGTGGTATGTGGCACTGCAAAACTTGCTTGTAGCACCATAAACCGGACAGTCTGTTGTTCTCCATGCTGTAAGAGCGTGCTGCCTGAGCGTGCCCTGTGCCCTTTTATTTTTCTGCAGGTTTTTCTGACTCCTGGATATCCAGGGATCAAAAATTAAAAAAGAGCAGAAAAAAAATTGGCTCAGCTCAGGCAGCATGTTCTGCTAACAAGCAGAGCCAGGCCACCCGGAGCCACGCTGCAGCTGCCAGCCAGGCTCTGCCCAGCAGGATTGCTGTGGCTGCAGCCCCAGGACCCCAGGTAAGGCTGCTGGGGCCAAAAGTGCTCGCCCCAGCCTCCCCTACTACCCCTAAAGGGAGAAGCCATATCAATGAGTCAAGTACTTGGCTCACGCCAAAGTGTGCATGGCACAGGTGTTCCCTGGGAACAAGTAGCTGTGCTGGAAAGTGCACCGCTGCTATGTGTCCCTGGGGAAACCAAACATCCCCGCACATCTGGACGTGCCCAAGGAGTGTTCTACAATCATGCATTTGCTATAATAACAAAACACAGAAATGTATTTATGGATTCCCACTAAACAGACATCAAAGCAGTCTAAACTCTACCTTTTCGTCAGAGATGTAGTAGCTGTGAACTTTTCTTCACTTGGAGGCATTGATTGGGGGGCACTGCTCACACTTTCTTCACAGGTAGAGCTAGTTACAAAGAGAGTTACAATTAACCTGACATGATGTCGCAGATATATTTGGTATGTCCAAGGTTCTTACAGTTATTTAAGTTCAACAGAGCAAAGGAAGACTGAATTTAGGAAGCAAGGCCCAAATCTGAAGTCTACCTTTGACACCAGAAGTCCCTTTCATTAAGGGGTTTTGCCATCTCAGAACCAGAAAAATATCAAATTATATTCTAAAAAGCGAACATCTAAAACTTTCATTAATTTCATTTCAAAAAATATTTTTGCCCTGGTTTACATGTGTTTGTGTAGCATACGTAGAGGTGATTACACAATAGCTTAAAAGGAAGTCTGACGCTTGTATATTGCGTGGGGAGGGTATAGGTTTGTGGGGGGCTGTGGGTGTGTGGGTTTCTGGGGTGAGGAAGCATGTAGATGTGTGTGTGGATATGTGGGGTGTGGGTGGGTATGGGATTTGTGGGGGATTGTGTGTGGGGGAGGGTGGCTGGGGTGTGTGAGGGGTGTGAGGGTCTGCGTGCATGGCAGTGCGAGGGAGGTATGGGTGCGTGTGTATCATGGGGGTGTTTATGTGGGACTCGCCCTACAAACACACACCCACACATGTGCGCATCCTCTGCCCCACCTGCGCACGCCTTGTGCCCCCGCCTGCGTGCGCATGTGCACACCCTCTGTGCCACTGCCTGCCCCAAGCATAGCCCATCCCAGCCCCCGCTGAGCAGAGCCTGGTGTGGCCTCTGGCCACAGCAGCAGCCCATAGCAGCAGGAGCTGTACACCCGGGGTTCCCTCCAAGGTGTGCACATGATTTGAAAACTTTTTAATGCTGCACACCAGCCCAGAGAGGAGCTGGGCGCAGAGGGTGGAGGAGGCATCGGGGCTAGCGCGGGACATTTACCAGACATTTACTCAGGCAACAGCTCCTCCCCAAGCTGAGGCAAGGCGGAGGTGGGGATGGGGGCTGGGGCAGGGGCAGACTGTCTCCTTGTGGCACTGGGGAACTGCACGGCTGGTTTTTTACCTTGTTGCTGCCTCCGCTGCCTCCAGTGTGCCAGGACATTCATTTAGTTACCGGCTGAGTGGGGGAGGAGGTCCTGGCTCTGACCCTCCTCTGTCCCCGGCCCTGGCCCCGGCCCCGGCCCCGGCCCCGGCCCCGGCCCCAGGGAAGGAACAGGGGGTCCCCAGAACTACATCTTGTAGGGGGTCCCCAAAGATTATGGGCCAGCCCTGCATGTGATTTCCCTCTCATACAAGTTTTACACCACTGTAAGTTTCTATTTTTCAATTAAGTCACTGCTGATTTGCAAAGGCACAGATGAAAAGAAAATATGGGCATATAAACACCATAGAAGGAAACCATTGCATAGAAGCAGTTCACATAACTTCTAGTGGTGCACAGAACTCTTTTAGTGCTTTCTTTATTTTACTTTTCTTTGGCACAATGTTTGGGTAAAGCTATTTAATTCAACATGTAAGTACCTATAGGAATTTCTTCATCAACACACACTCAAGTATTCAGGTTATGTTGGTATCTGATTTTGTGTGAGGGGAATCAGACCCAAACCCTCTAGCTGTTTGTGACAACTGACAATTTTAACTCTTAAATCTGTTCATGAATGTCTAATACCCCATAAATGCAATACCTTGCTGCTGTCCTTGACACACATTGCAGAGCCCCATCAGGCTTATTCAAACAATACATAAGAGTGCTTAAGCAGAACTCAATTACTATTTGAGTGGTCATATGTTTGTTACACTATTTACAGGACTGAACCAAAGCGGCGCGCTCCTTATACCTTACACCGCTACACATTAGAGGGAACATTGTGTGCACCCTGTCCCACACCCCACCCTGGCTGTGCAGTACCTGCCCCAGCCCCAGCCCCAGCCCCAGCCTTACTCTCTCCCTCATCACTGATGGGGGGTCCAGATTGAGGCCCAACTCACCCTAGCCCATGCTCTTGCCTGTGCTCTGCTCCCTCCCTCATGGCTGGGGCCTCAAATCTGCCACCCCGCCCATGGCCCTTTCCACTGCCCCCACCAATTTACCTGCTGCCAATCACAAAAGAGTGAATTTACCTCACATATAACGAATTTTGGGTAGAAAAGGGGTCATTGCATAAAAACGAATTTGCATATACAAAACCTACATAAAGGGAAACCTGTATCTCATTCAGGGCAGTCCAGCTATGATAAACCTGCAGGTTGTATGTGGCCCACTTGGGATTAAGTTGCAGCCCCCAGGATCCTGCCAGGCCACTGTTTCCTCCATTGCTTATTACAGCTGGAGACTCTTGGCTCCCCTTCCCTCCTCCAGCTTTAACTGCCTTCCCCTGCCCCAGCGGGCAGGAAGTGAAAATGTGTTTCAGCCAGGGTAGATGAGGGTGAACCTGGGGCCATGCAAGCATGTGTTGCAGTTGGGGGGACTGGGAGTGTTCATGATGCAGCAATGGGGAGGGTGTACAGTGCAGCAAGGTGGGGTGTCCGCATAGCATGCAGCCTAGGGGGAGCCCATGGCTCACCCAATAGCAGCTCCTCGATGTGAGACTCTCACTGATTCAGTCAATGGGGTATTCAGCCCTCAGTTGCTTAGAAGTTGGACAGTCCTGATCTATTTGACAGACGGATTCAGAATCAGCACTGGAAGAAGCCACAGTAATTCAAGCTCTAAGCACCTCTTCTCTCTGTAATTGGCAGATACAAAGCTCGCTGGTGGAAATAGTGAGAGTGCATCAGACTAAGTAGGTCCTGTAAAGACTAAGCCAAATAGGAGGTCTTGTGAGGGAGAAAGAGGAAGGAATAGAAAATCTTGATTAAGTGCAACTCAGCCATTATGAAGGATGGCCTGGGTGCATGACTCTCCAGCAACCACTGATAGGTGCTAGTTCTGAATGTTTTGTGTTAAGCAGCACAGATTATCCTTCATAACTCATTACCTTTTCCCATACTGCGACCTGATTTCTGCTGAGGACTTCTCATTAGGGGCCTGTCTGTCTTCACCATTTCTGCAAGTAAAATGCAATACAAATCAGTCAGAGCAGGTGCTGGAGCAAGACAGGGGGGAGGAAGTAGTTTATTAGGTTTATGATATACACAGTGCAGGGATCAGGTTAAAATGAAAGTCCATTTAGTTTAGGAGACATAAACTGCATTTTTTGTGCTGACTTCTTAGTTGAAGGAGACAGGTGCTGTTTACTGAGGGCCTAAATAGCAGAGGGCCTCATTACACCTGACGCTGTGAGCCACACAAATGTTGAATGGCTTAGTGTTTTGGAGCAGTCACACCTTCAACTTGGTCAGCATATCTGTGGGAAGTGGCCACACCTCAATGGAACAGGAGTTGGGTTGTGCAGATCTAGAGATAACCCTGCCTTGGAGTTATGTAACTTTGAACTGCAAAACAAGTGTTTTAAGACAGCGTTTCTCAACCCGTGGGTCGCAGCCCAAAAGTGGATCGCAAGAATATTTCAAAGGGTCGTGAGCTGCGGCAGGGCAGGGGGTGGTGGGAAGGCACCTACCCCTTCTAGTGGGCAAAGGGGGTGGGGGAGAGTTGTGTGACCAGGCTGGCATCACTGGGGCCAGTGCCTATGGTCATGGGTGTGGGGAGGCCCAAAGATGCTGCTGGGGCAGTAGGAGGGGCCATGACCAGGCTGCCTGGCCCCGTGCAGTAGCCCCAGCCTAAGACTGGGGCATGGGAGTGCCACAAGCCTCTCCTCCTTCTCCCTCCATCCTGTGCTGGGGCTGGACTTGCTCTGCTGCTGCTTACATGAGCCAGAGTTGCCGCAGCCACCATGCTCTGGCCTGAGTAGGATGGGGCAGCTAGGGGCCCCTCTGGCAGGGCTGGGGGGGCAGGGGTCTGGAGCGAGGGACACCAGCATATAGTGACATAGCAAGAAAGTTTGGAGCCTGGGGCAAACCTGCAGTGGCAGCCCGCCCTCGCCCCATGCACAAATCTGGGGGGCACATGCCCCCCATGCTTGCCTGGGGATACATGCAGGGGCCCCACACCCTTGCCCCCCAAATGAGCTGCTTGTGACTCTGTCCCATGCTTCGCCCCGACTGAGCAATGCCTGTTGGTGCCCCTTCACTTTGGCACCTGGGGCAGTCATCCTTCTTGCCCCTCCCTTGCTACAGTACTGCCAGCATGGCCCGGGGTGCAGTGGGTCAGACACCGGCAAGGCCAAGAGGGTCTGGCCATGGATCTTTGCAAATAGGTCCTGGTAGGAAAAAGGTTGAGAACCACTGCTTTAAGACACTTCAAGATGTTAATGTGCAGACAATCCAGGGGTTAAGAGCTCTAGAAGCCACCCAAAATTACAGTGCAACAAGGTCCAGAGCTGCTGGCTACCTACAGCCCTTACTGGCTTTAGTTTGCAGTGTGGGTGTTCTGGGTACTTGCTACCACTTAGCTTATCATGAAACAGACTCATATCAGAGACATTTAAATTAAAACATTAACTCTTTAATAACATTATAAAGTGCCTCCTCAGTTCCCTCTTTAGTGTTACAGCCACCAGACTATGGAATTTATTGTTTCATGACTGCACTGTACCGCAGTCATGCAGCTCACATACAAGCAAATTTTCTATCAACATGATGAAAACCCAGTCCCATTGGTGGTGTGTTTCAGTTGCTATGTATTATGGTTCAAACAACATAACTTAAGCACTGTACCTGCGATCAGTAGAAATGGAGCTCCTCAATTTAGTTTCACTCCAGGTTCTGGTTGTTTGGCTTTTACTGCCTGCATCAGTGCTACAAAATAGAGCAAAGAAGACAGTGTAGCTGCCAAGCAAAATAATTCAGCAGTGCAGCTGGTCAAAACTGTTGTGAGCATAAAGGTTTTTTTCTAGTCACATTTAAAAAAAATATTTTTTCATTTTAAAAAAATTCTGGAAAAAGCTATGCCAATATTAACCATTTTCATTAAAAATTAATTGAAACCATTATAAAAATAATAATTTACCAAATCACTTTATTTCCAGAAAATAAAAATTCTCAGTTACCGGGGCAGGGGTCTGGAGCGAGGGACACCAGCATATAGTGACATAGCAAGAAAGTTTGGAGCCTGGGGCAAACCTGCAGTGGCAGCCCGCCCTCGCCCCATGCACAAATCTGGGGGGCACATGCCCCCCATGCTTGCCTGGGGATACATGCAGGGGCCCCACACCCTTGCCCCCCAAATGAGCTGCTTGTGACTCTGTCCCATGCTTCGCCCCGACTGAGCAATGCCTGTTGGTGCCCCTTCACTTTGGCACCTGGGGCAGTCATCCTTCTTGCCCCTCCCTTGCTACAGTACTGCCAGCATGGCCCGGGGTGCAGTGGGTCAGACACCGGCAAGGCCAAGAGGGTCTGGCCATGGATCTTTGCAAATAGGTCCTGGTAGGAAAAAGGTTGAGAACCACTGCTTTAAGACACTTCAAGATGTTAATGTGCAGACAATCCAGGGGTTAAGAGCTCTAGAAGCCACCCAAAATTACAGTGCAACAAGGTCCAGAGCTGCTGGCTACCTACAGCCCTTACTGGCTTTAGTTTGCAGTGTGGGTGTTCTGGGTACTTGCTACCACTTAGCTTATCATGAAACAGACTCATATCAGAGACATTTAAATTAAAACATTAACTCTTTAATAACATTATAAAGTGCCTCCTCAGTTCCCTCTTTAGTGTTACAGCCACCAGACTATGGAATTTATTGTTTCATGACTGCACTGTACCGCAGTCATGCAGCTCACATACAAGCAAATTTTCTATCAACATGATGAAAACCCAGTCCCATTGGTGGTGTGTTTCAGTTGCTATGTATTATGGTTCAAACAACATAACTTAAGCACTGTACCTGCGATCAGTAGAAATGGAGCTCCTCAATTTAGTTTCACTCCAGGTTCTGGTTGTTTGGCTTTTACTGCCTGCATCAGTGCTACAAAATAGAGCAAAGAAGACAGTGTAGCTGCCAAGCAAAATAATTCAGCAGTGCAGCTGGTCAAAACTGTTGTGAGCATAAAGGTTTTTTTCTAGTCACATTTAAAAAAAATATTTTTTCATTTTAAAAAAATTCTGGAAAAAGCTATGCCAATATTAACCATTTTCATTAAAAATTAATTGAAACCATTATAAAAATAATAATTTACCAAATCACTTTATTTCCAGAAAATAAAAATTCTCAGTTACCCTTTCAACAATATCTTTGATGACAGAATCAGGAATTTCAAAAAACTCAAGTGAAGGAAAACAGTTCCACCCCAAGCAGATGGTAATAAAAACACATTCAAAAGCTAGATTTCCACCCGGCCCCCCCAAAAAAAAACAAAAACAAAAAACCCTCTGGACTTTTCAACTCCTTTACTTGGGATAATTTTGGATTCTTGCAGGAAATATGCCTTAGGGAGCCGTGTTTCAGGTGACAGCAGGCTGCCATGTCTCATACAGCTCCCCCTGATCTGGTGAGAGTGCCTCCTGCACAGAAGGAACGTGCTAGGCTAGACTGTAGCACTTTATGCTTGAAATGAATTGGAGGAGTGAATACAACAGCAGAGGCTGAAGGGACAGGCTGGTGTCAGTTATGTGGGTCAAAAAGGCATCTTCTCAGAAGGAGCCTGAGAGACTTCTGTTCTCACAGGTGATCTGAGCTGTCAGACCTACCTCTCTGTAGAAACAGCAGTTTTTGCCCTTGGCTCATTACAGGGAGATTCTGCTGGGCTCTTTTTCACCCTATTAGTACTGATAAAAAATAAAGTGTTAAGAGCTATCTATCTTACAGTTTTGGGACTATCTCACCATCTTCCTTTACAAAGAGAGGACAGAGGTACAAAGAAGTTAAGTGACTCACTCAAGGTCACCTGCAGGTCTGTGGCAGAAAAGGGAATTGAACCTAGGTCTCTTCGGTAATAATAGGCTAGCAGCCAAAACATCAGATCTTTCCATCTGCAAGCCCCAGGCTTAACAGTGACAGCCTAATAACCAACAAAAAGCCATAATCCTGTAATATGAGACTCATGTGAAGACATCGGTGCCCATGTACATGCTCAATGAAGTTATGTGCAGTTCTGAGTCTTTCAACATGCATCACATTTCTGTCAAAAGGTTTTTATTTACAGAAAATTACTTTTTCAACAAAACAAAATTTGCATGACAAATGCTTGCTGCTACTGAACATTTCCAGGGTCTCACTTGAAAAACCAATCCCTGAACACCTTTAGACAACGACCACTATCTATAAAAAAAATATTTTCACTTTCCAGTCAAGACAGAGTTGTGGTTATGTACCCCAGAGAAATGAAGCTGCATCACAATTTTGTAATGCAAACACACCTATTTCCTCCCAGAAGATAAAGTCTTTCTGCCTGTCAGCTTTAACTCCTGGACACTGCTCCCTGTCCATGAGGCTTAAAAACCTTGGAGAAGTCAGGAGTGCTGACACCTGGCAACAAGCTTCTTGTTCAAGTGGAAATAAATAGCTGAATCCTAATCTGAAAGAATCCCTTGTGAAAAACAGCAGAGTTTTTCTCCTCTGGGGACAGGTGGTGCCTCCCTTTCCATAGCTTTTTTATTCAGCACACCTCCTCTGAAGCCCCAAATCACACCCAACACTTTTTCAATCAACATGGCTTAGATGACACTACCACTGCTGGTCTTTTAACTTAGACAGCACTATTCATTGGGTTCCATGTAGGATGATAAAAGTGCATTGGTCAGTAATGTAACAAGGGGTGGATGAATGGGGCAGCAGCTCCAGTAGGCCACTTAGGTGGGTGCATCTGAAAGGTGGCCCCCAGGGAGTCTGTGGTGCTGTAGCAGCAGCCCCATGCCATGGCTTTTGCAGCAGCAACTACCAAGGCTAAGGAGACTGCTCTGCTCTGCACCAGTAAGAACCAAGGAGTTTGAGTTCCTGGGGCAGGTACCTTTTCCCCACCAAGGCAAGGGAAACCTCTGGCGTTGGTCCCCTTTCCATGAAATGGTGTACAGTTTACACTTTACAGTAAGATGTGCATTTGGTTGGTAGTTTGAAATTAGGATAAACCTTGCCACTCCAGCAAAGATCAATTTAAAGACAATAAATAGCTTGAATCTTTATGGACAGACTGATTTTATGCTACCATTGTCAAGGTAGATTAATTAAATTTAAAGTCCTACAAAAGGGGACAGTTGGCTCAGGAGACTGGAAATAATAAGATATTGAGTCATTTATTTCTAGGTAGCAGGGATAGTTCATCCAGCCACGACTGCTAGTAAAAGAAAATCCTTATAGGAGCTTCTTTTGTCTGCTTAGGTATTTATACCATGTTCATCACTGGGGCTTATGAGCTCTTCAGTGAGATGAGGTCAAAAATGAATGAGCTCCCGAGACTGAACCCTTCTCACATCTTTAGATCAAAAGAGAAGCATAGTGTGGGTTTGGTATGAGCTTGCACTGACATTACCCATGTTATAGCACGTCTGTAATTAAATACAGGATGACCATCTCCAGGCCTGTCATTGTAAAACCTTCCAACTCATTTGGCCTCATTCATACCCTTGCTCTTTTTCCTCCCATAACATGTTTAGACTGGAGTAATTGACCTTTATACTGGTGTAAAAAAGGAGCAGATGTAGAGCTCTGTATTGGTGTAATGTAATTGAATCTAGTGAAGAATTGTCCCAGGAAAAAATCAGGAGTAAAATTACACAACTGTAAATGTCATCTGTCTGCACTGTATCCCAGGATACTAGTTTGCTCAAGGGAAGCAGACTTTTACCTGCTCCCCACCACCTAGTGGGAGGTGCTGTAATTATTACATGCTGCATGTACTACGCTGGGACACCTATCTCTGTTCTGGATTCTGGCCTAATGTACACAGCTGTAGAAAACCTATGTAAGTAACACTGGCATAAATAAGTACCATGTGCAGGTGTTCAGTTGCATTTCAGTCCCTTTCTTCTCAAGTTTGCAGATGATATTAAGTTAAGGGGAAAATCAGTCATCCTAGGGGATAGGATGCAGATCCAAGTGAACCTGAACAAGCTGGAAAGGTGGGCAGAGCAGAACTGGTTACAGTTCAATAAGGATAAATGCAGTGCTTCATTTGGGGAGAAGTAACCAGCAACATGAATATAGGTTAGAAGGAAATGTCCTGGCCAGCATGATGGCTGAAAAGGACCTCAAGGTTATGGCAGATCACAGAATAAACATGAGCTGCCAGGGTGACGCTGTAGTCAACAAAGCTAATAGCATACTGGGATGCATTAGCTGATGTGTCATGAGCAGGGCTGAGGAAGTGATTCTTCCTCTCTACTTGGTGCTGGTGAGACCCCAGCTGGAGTATTGTGTCCAGTTCTAGGTGCCGCACTTCAAAAAAGACATGGAGAATCTTAAAAGGGTCCAGAGAAGGACCACAAGAATGATTAAGGGCCTGGAGGACAAACCTTATGTGGAAAGACTAAGGGATCTGGAACTGTTCAGCCTGGGGAAGAGAAGACTGGAGTGGTGGGGAGGAGGGGAGGGGGACTTGGCTGTCTATAAGTATGTAAGGGGTGAATATCAGGAGCTGAGAGAAAAAACTGTTCACTAGGGCATCCCAGGGGAGGACAAGGAACAATGGTCATAAACTGGTTTCAGGTTGGATATAAGAAAGAACTTCTTTACAGTAAGGGTGACCAGAATCTGGAATAGATTTCCCAAGGAGGTGGTGCAGTCCCCAACCCTGGAAGTCAAGAAGAGACTGGACAGACACCTCACTGGGATCATTTGATTTCAGCAGTATTCCTGCCCAGAGCAGGGGGGTTGTACTTGATGATCTTTCAAGGTACTTCCAGCCCTTATTTTCTATTAGGAATGACAAATGATGTTCTTATGGGTGGGCCCTTTTGGGGCATCTCTGTTTTAACTGTGGTCAGAGTCATATTTGATACCAGACTAGAAGACAAACTAAGAAATGCCTCCAGCCCCCCCGCCCCCCCCTTTCTCCCTTCTATAATCAAGAGGTGAAGACACTACCTGATGTCACCAGCACTAAACCTTGATGAAGCAGCTAAACTCTGACTCTTGTGGTGTGGCATTTCTTCCTCCTCAATTTCAACTCTTTCAGGAAACAAAATAAAAACACGATGATTACATTGTTTCCATTTCACACAAACACACATACACAATTATTTTAGCTTTTTATTTCTGTTTCCCCTTGTGTTGATGATTTTTTTCATCTCAAAGGAAAACTTTGTTTCTGTTCCTTGGAACTCCACCAGCTGCATTATAGGGAAATGTATTGTTAATGGACTGAAGCCTACGCATTTCTGAATGACTTAGTTTATAAGGTACCACCTTTCCCCTCCTTCTGATGGGAACAAAGCCATTCAAATCAAATAGATGATATTTCACTATTTGTCTGTCACAAGGTAACTTTGAAGATGCCTTCACATCAATTCCAACCTTGCTGGAAGTGTTCTAGGAAGGATCAGCTGGAATCTTAATTTTGGTGAAAATCAGAAAACCAGGAAAATCTGACCACCACTAACTGCATTGTTATGATTATGTGGGTTCTTTATACAGATGTGAGGTATTGACTTTATAGTTAGGGTTAGAAGCATTCTCTTTTCCACAATTTCTTTGTGGAACTGTCTGCTTAGAAAGTTAAAAAAGCAGTGGTGGCCTTTTCTGCAGGAACCAGTCTCTCCTGGAAGAGTAAGGGAAGTCAGTCCCTATTATTCTCCCTACATTTTAGGTTTCCTGGCAAACCAGATCATTACCATCAGTCCCTTACTTGACTCAACCCAGTCAGGTGGGCTAACCGTATCTTGGGACTTTCCCTGCTCTCAATCTGACACCATCTGGAAACTTCAACCCCCCAACACTTAGGAGCAGCCCAAATATTAAGACTATATTTTAAAAGAGCAGCTTCAAAATAATTTATGGAGCACATAGCCAAGGACTCACCTCTTGGCAAATAAAGGTGGCAACTCTTGTGTAGGACTTCTGTAAAAGAGACAGAAGAACAGTAGTTACATGAAATCAGTAGGCAAATTCAGATCTTGTATAGAGACAGTTTTCATGGGACAAATTCAGCTGGGACCTGAAGGGCAATGCTAGCATTTAAACATAGGGCAACTGGGGTTAAGTGGCATTTTGCACAGATTTGGCCTTCACTCAACATGCAAAAACCATGCAATTTATACAGAAGGGTGAAATCAGCGTAAAGTCTCCACAAATATCCACTTCTTATTTTCTACCTTTCTCATCGTGCGTTTTTATTACACATGTGCCTATCCTCTTGTCATATAATATACTTGTTTAGCCCGCCAACTGAATTGTATACAGTGCAGTCTACCCTGTCTTATCATCCTTGGGTAACTTAAATTACCATTTATATCCCTGCTCAATTTGACCAGTGTCTATCACAGCAGACTTATTCCTTGGCTCTCCTATTCCTTCCCATGTGCTGACACCCTCCCTGCTGCCTCACTGTACTATCCTGAGTTATACCAGGAGAAAAAAATGATAACACAAGTCTAAGTAACAGAGATTGAGGTCAGTATTCCTGAGAGATCAATCTTACTTCAGCTATTGACACCTGCCATTACTGCCCACATGAAAGAGAAGGATGGAGGAGTCTCATACACCAGAAATATTTTATGCATCCACATATTTACTGCTACAGCTTTTGTTTTTCAGTAGTGTCAAGGGGCTATAACTGAAATAAGGGCCACATCATTCTATGCACTATTCACGTAGAGAGTGAAAACTGTTCTTTTCCCCAAAGAGCTTATGTGAACTGGATCCAAATCCTGCTAGGATTCCAGTTTCTTAGAAAGTGGTTGGGTGTCCCATACTGGTTTTTTACCAATCCCTTCTTTCCTGCTATCTTTTGCAATAATACTGGATTGGGAAAAGCAAGTTGTTAGCATTGTTACTGAGACATCAAACCTGAAGATATGGATCTAGTATAGTGTTAAAAAGATGATGATTTTCTTTCCATAAATGTTTTCCCCTCTCTGGTAGGCAGAACTTTCAAGATCTCCAGGGTATGGAGTGCAAGCTCTCATTGGTGTTTCTCATCAAGGGTATCAGGAAATTAATGTTAAGACTCTCATTGCCTTTAATAGTGCTTTGGGTTGGACCATAGCTATGTGGACACTGATGAATAGTTTCTCTTTCAGTCCCCCCAAACCTGCCCTAGAAACTCACCCACTGCTTTTCTTGGCAGCTGACAGGACATAAGCACGCTCCTTAGTAGCTGTGCGCTTCAGCACATTGTTGGCTGCCTCTGTTCTGTAAAGGAAGGAAAAGGACAAATTTTAATGATGTTGCTGAAAGACAGAAAGCAGAGAATACAGAGGACTAAAAGTAAACAAGCCACTGAAGGCTGGTCTCCAACTCTGAAAGGCCAGGCGCTGGAAAGGGCCTAAATCAAGTAAAAGTCAAGAGCAGTAACAATGTTATATCCATCTCTATTCTTTATCTAGCTATGGAACCCAGCGCAAAGATATTATTTACATCCCTTATGACATTTATACTGTGCCATGAGTGTACATAGAGCTTTGCAATGCATGAAAGATCAAAAAACAGAGTCCCTGTCACAAGGGATTACTGCCCAAGGACACAAAGAGTTTATAGGATGCAGGCATGTGAGGATGCAATATATTAGTACATAATACAACAGAACAAGTACAGAGAATGGGGTATTGGCCTCATAGCTGGAATATTGCAAAGACTGGGTGTCTCTATAGATTCACTCAAAAGGTTCACCGCCCAATGTCTGAGCAGGGGAAGCATGGATGTGTGAGTAAGACGTGGAATTTTTTGCCCACATTGGGCTGGTCACTCTGTTTTTCAATCCTTTCCCTGAAGCAAGGTATTTCTGCAAATCTTACATAAAGTATCAGGAACTCTGATTGTCTGTCTTTGAGGCAGTATCTCAAGAACAACTTCATTATGGAGGAAGCACATTTCCTAACAATGATGTGAAAACTAAATAGGGGCCTGAGCTATACAGTTCTAATTTGAAGTATATTTAAATCCAAAAATGTTCTGATTTGAGATCCTGGCATAAGGAGGGCATGGATACTGGTACACTGCTCACCTCACTGCCAGAATATTTCTATGCCTATGCACCATTATTTCCATACTTTAACTTATACAGCCTGCAGCTGATGGGTTCTCTGCTCCCCCCTCACCAGCTAAGAAATTAATTGGGCCATGCTGTCATTTTGAATCATGTCAGGCTTTTAATTATATTTTGTTAGGAGCCCTGCTGCCTGTGGCACTGATGTGCTCTATATAGAAATGTATTATTATTATTACATTGCAATCAGTCCCAATAGCTCAGCTAAAATTTTCATAAGCTTGACCCTTACAGTAATGAAGAGTTATACTCAGCAGGGTCCATTTGCCCCAAAGCCCCACAACCACTGCTTGAAAACAGATTGACTCCAGCAGTTTGTACCTCTTTTTGTGTTCATCTGGACTAAAAGGTAGCTCCTCTTCATCTAAATCTGCTGATGTTGGCTTCACATTATACGCAGCCCTGAAATCCGAGGGAGAAGAGGAGAGCTACATTAATGGTTTTGCTTCTGTAAGCAGTCTTAAAGGAATTGAAAACAGCAGGCATTAAACAACAGATTTTGAAGCAGCCTAGAGCAAGGCAAATGAACAGATTTGATGGTTTGGGGTAAACTTCAGCACAGTACAGAGGGGTAGGATTCATCTACTGTAAGCCTCATCATAGTTTGAGAGGCACTTTAATTTCCCATGCACCACAATGAAAACATGCCTTTAGGATTTTCCTGATATATACAGGGCTTTAGCCTCAAAAGATAGGAATGC